AAGCAACAAATTAAGTTAGACTGCTAAAAAAGAGCGTAAATACATGAGCGATGTCTAAACAGAAGTCTATTTTGAAGAGGAAACTCACCTTGGCTCAGAGGACCAGAAAAAAGCTTATCGGTGCTAAGTAGTTCGGGAGATAAATTGAAGTTAGTAAAAAGTCTTGAGTCAAATTAAGCATAAGAATAATGGAATAGAAATTAATGAAAGGACAAAATCAAATAACATTGAAGTATTGATAAAAATTCCATTGAAAGAAAGCATCAAGATAAATAAAATGAATTTAGAGAAATTGGGAGCAATTAAATATGATAGAGTTAGACAAAATAGAGAAAATACGAGCTTCTAAAATTAGTATGAACATTTTTGCACGGCTTATCTTATTTTTTTTTGTAAAAAGTTAAATTCTTGTAGTTTATGGTAAGTTTTAAGTGCGAATAAATCAATAAAAGTCGAATGAAAGCATGCCCTATAACTGCACAAGGGAAAAGGTAAGTAAATTTAAACATGTTTAATATAACAGTTTGAAGCTAGTCCTAATATTTCATCTTGGATACCTATCGAGATAATAATGATAAAATATAATTTATGTAGTGCGCAATGAAAGACTTTGAATGAAAGGGTATTCGAATACGAAAAACCTTGAAAGTTACTGATAAAGCTGAATGAAGAGGTGGAATATTAAAATTTGTCAGCCAAGCTACAATTCAAGCATTGGAAAATAGAAACACCAAATCCAGCCACCTATCAATCAGTGAAAAATTTTGGGAACTAGACATTGTCCGTATTGTATCAGCTTAACAAAATAAAATGTTAAAAAAAACAATAAATAACTCTAGAAAAATGGTAACGGGAAATGTTAATGAATGCTATAATTTCATAGGCAAGCATAAAAATTAAGAATTAATTCAGTGTCGAGAGATTAGCTAATTAAAAAAAGTCAATGGCAGTTAGGGCTAAAATAACTATAATACAAATAGAGAAACATAGAACTAGAAACTTAGACAAATTGAATGACAAATTAGCAATAATAAGAAAAATAAAATAAATTCTTGATAAACAAAAAGCAGGACAAAGTATTTTTGACAGTTAATAATACTCAGGTAACAATATTTAAAATAAATGTAATTAAAAAAGATGTACATTTACCTTTGAAGTTCCCCCTGACTTTCTTCGAATTTGGCATATTTAATCCAGTTTTGTATTGCCAAGCGGTTTTTTCTTATATTATCTTCATAATCTTTTCGTTTACGCAATTGAAAGTCTCGAAGCTCGGCTAGACTGGTTATTTTTTGTTGTGGAGGAGTAGGTGTTACTTCTAACTCCCGTTCTTTAGCTTCACGCAATAACTGCTCAGCAGTTATCTGGATCGGAGCCGGCATTTTATTCTTGACCTATATGAAGTAAAATATCAATTTAAAATAAAATAAATACCTTAGCCACCTTGGCTCTTTTGTTCTTTTGACCCTGAGCATCTGTGACCTCAGGCTTATCCATTCTGACGGACGAAGTGAGAAAGACCACAGCCCAAGTTTGAAAGACTCAAAACTTTTTTGTAAATTTAAACAAAATAAGTATATTTTAATATATTTGATCTGATTAAAGTTAGAAAAACAGTAGTTTATATTTCTTGGGATATTTACATTGCTTAGAAAAAACTGTTATTTCTTGTAGTAAGCTATAGTTGCATATTTCCAACACAATGCGCATAACA